AATACATTTAAGGCGCAGCGAAGCACGCCGGGTAATTGCTAGTAAACAATAAAACTGAAGTCAAATTACAAAAACGATTCGGAAATGCGTCAGAGAGAGACAAATTCTGTGTGAAAAACAGCTGAGTTTTAACATTTCCTTATCGAAATTCAAATTTGCGTAAAACAATTTTGTTATAATAAAAAAATGAAATTAAAGCGGCAAGTATTTCATTTAATTGTATTTCCATTTTTTTATGCTTAGGAAATCCCTCGCGCAAACGGCTGTGTAAGAAAACCGAACGAACTTACAGCCATCTGTCAAAAAGACCAAACGAAATAAAGGTTGGCCAGATTGTTTTTAACAACCTGGTTTGTTCGCTTACACCGCTTACACAAGTACTGAAATCGTATCTGACCAACGACTACCACGTATTTTTTTTTTTTTAATTTGGGGGTCTGCCACATCTAGTCACACAAGGCTTAAAATCTACCACATTTTTAGACAGAACATTTGTTTACAATTTTCACATAACTCTAAAATTTCAGCTCAATTTTTATAAGAAATATAAAAACTAATCAATAAATTTCTAAAAAGCTACATCATAAATTTTGCTTTAAATATATCTGTGCCTTAACTTTTTAAAATTGCAAAAATCCGTATATTTATATTTGCTAAAGTATTATGAAATGGAAAAATAAGTTGGTGGATTTTTTTGCATAAATAAATCTGCAGAATTTTTCTCAAATTAATGAAAATTTTTTTTCTGCATGATTATATTCTCTAACTAGAAAATTAATGTTATACTTGTTTTTGCATCAATTGCGTTGAATCTGTACGATCGACCAGCACATATATTTCCCGATCTAATTTTTGAGTTGTGCCTCTTGTGGTGTGCGATATGTAACCCAAAAAAATATGAATTGGAAAATCTGCACTCGAAATACAAGAAAAAACACAGTAAGAGATATAATTCCTAATAAATTCTGTCCCACTTCTGCGACAACACAGAAAGGAGAAATCTGAGTAGTAAGTGTTATGATCCCTAAGCGCGGCCAAAGGCCGCCTACGCAGAACGAAGTTCCGCCCCGTCGATCTACGGTAATTTTTACCGTGGATCTACGGTAATTTTTACCGTGAATTTGCGGTAAGTTTTACCGTACATCTACGGTATTTTTACCGTGAATTTGCGGTAATTTTTACCGTGGATCTACGGTAATTTTTACTGTGAATTTGCGGTAATTTTTACCGTGGATCTACGGTAATTTTTACCGTGAATTTGCGGTAAGTTTTACCGTACATCTACCGTATTTTTACCGTGTATCTACGGTAAAAGTTGCCGTGGCGCGTATGTACTGACACTGCCAATAACAAAAGATAAAGGAAAAAAATGCTATGCACTCGTAAAATACGTATTTAGTGTTACAGAGCTCAGTCTAAAACCATAAATGCTTATTAACTAATTTATATACATTTTGATATCTCATTTATTTACAGGTCCAACACCGGTGCAAATGGTTTCACAAAACCGGCCCACACCAATCCCAGTGCAAGTACAAGTACCACAAGGTCAGGTGATGCAGCAATATGTTAACGAGAGCGGACCTTTTGCGCACGTTGTGCTATCGCCACAATACCAACAGCTCCACGCCAGCCAAGGACATATTCATGCCCCTTTCGTAAGTTTCATGCACATAAAAGCATTTTAATTATACATACCACACAACTTCCTTTGAGTTCCCAAACGATATTTTAACCATTCACCAGCCATAGGTGTATTTTAATAGAAGTTTAATAAAAATATGCAATTTTTCAAGGGAAACTTATTATTTTTTTAATTCTAAGTCAAGCATTCTAAAGTAATTTAAGTTGTTTTATAATAACACAGGCGAGGACGCTATTTTCTCTGCGCTAATGCGACACTTGAAAAAAACGAACTGGCCGTGTTTTAGGGAGCAGCTTGGCAACCAAACTACGATGCCACCGAGGATATGATCAAGCCATTGAAGAGGCGGAGGTTAATTTAACCGCTGCCCTACGTGTAAGTTTGGATAAGACTTGTCCGTCTCGGCCAACTCTTAGCCGTACGCCTGTCCCTGGTTGAACAAAAAGCTTGAGGAGTGAGTCGAGGAGACTTCTAAAGCGGGCCCTCAAAACTAATTTTGAGATGGAATTCTCTGCAAAAGGTGTTCAGCCCCCCTTCTTCGGCAACAAAGAAAGGAGAATTCTACTTAGTTCCTCAACCGCCGCCCCCTTACCCCTTCCCACCACCCCTCTTCAACCGTTTTCTAGAACTGGGTACTGTTTATTAAGTGACCGAACTACTTCGGGGTATTGCGTCCAAAGGGGTGACCCGATCCATAAAAAACTTCCACACACTTATAGTCAAGTGTCTACGCATTATTCTACCACCTACCTTTGTAATTTTCTGCCACTAATTTATTTAGAACTTCGGTTTGAAATATGCCTTTTTTGTAAAATTCGGAAATTAGCTTATATTTATCACTCCTTTTTCTCCTCAAGGCAGCCACTTCACCAATACATTTTTATATTCCCCTTTACTTTACACTTTATTCGAATAGCTATAACTCTCTTTATTACTTTAATTTTAACCAAATAATCACAATTTAATAAATAAAAACACCTTCATGATTACGCGTCTGTCTTTGGTTGCACATGCAAATTAAATGGCGGGGTTCAGCTGTCAAACTCTAAAATATACAAGGATGAGAGACAAAAGAAAATAAGATATAACCCACGAGCATTCAGAATTTAAACCTTTCCATGGAAAATAGAAAAGGTGTTCTCTGCAAAAGGTTTTCAGCCCCCCTTCTTTGGCAACACAGAAAAGAGAATTTTACTTACTGAGGGTTATAATCCCTAAGTGCGGCCCAAGTCCGCCTACGCAGCAAGAATACTATCATATTACTTTAACTATAACATTTTTACCTGCCGCGTTTTTTTTAATATAACAATATTTTTAGCGAAATTTTTTTAATAACTTTTTTTATACAAAAACGCCTAATAACAAACTTGGGATAATTTATTTATTTTTTTAATCCCACAGTTTATGTTAGTTGGGTTATATTCCACTTCAAACTGCTCAGACTGCTTTTACACAGTTAAAGTATTGAATTCCATTCTGCTCGCATGTGGAAGAGGGGGGGTGGGAAGAAAAAGGACGAGTACACATGCGTCTGTACCGTCAAATCGTTTCAACTTTCTTGCTTTGCTTTTGGCATTTTCGTTACTTCCCATTTAAAGAACCAAAAACTTGAATTCAACAGAATTAAAACGTGTAAAAGCAAATAGAAAACACAAAAGAGAATGAGCAAGAATTGCTTTCAAGTACTTGAATCATGTAAATCGGGTGTCAGTTTGGCTCGGTAAATGCCGTTTTTCCCCATGTTCAAACGGTTCCCTAGGGCAGGGCTTCCCCAAGTGGGTGACGCGGCACCCCGAGAGGCGCACCACGATCTTTGGCACTCAAGCCTGTCAAACGATCGTAGGGGAACTGACTTGGCAGCTGCTGCAGCTCGCCAGACATAACAATAGTCAGCGCTGGTCTGATAAACAGCATATCATGGCGACCTATGCTGACTTCGGCATCAGACCATCTGCCCATAGTCATCTCGATCGATAAACCAACCGACTTTGCTTCCACGGAACACCGGACCTATATCAACTTTTCTAAAGCTGAATGGAAAGGCTTTGCGGAATTTACTGAAAACACCTTCGCTGCGCTCCCCACACCAACCGACGTCCACTTTGGTGAACGTAAGTTCCGCAGGGCTATCACCGCTGCTGCAGCTCGCTTCGTACCGCAAGGATTCATAACGGACCCACAGCCATTCCACGGTACTAGAAGATGTAGAGGCTTCCTTTCTCCCTCAGAGGCTCAAACGGTGGTCGGCAAATTATCTGAGTGGTCCACACTCGGTAATGTTTAGAGACAAATCGAGCAAACTAAGGAAAATAAAACAGAGGGTTCCACAGGGTGGTGTCCTTTCCCCGCTACTGTTCAACTTTTATATTTCAAAGCTCCCTCAACCACCAGAGGGAGTCTCGATTGTCTCTTACGCCGACGATTGCTCGATCATGGCGAACGGGTATCTCTCCGAGCTTTCTCGCTTCTTCACTGCAAAGTGCCTAGCCCTCTCCCCTAATAAACAATAAAGCCACTGCGACCTTGTTCACCACCTGGACGAAGAAGGTCAGGCTACCGCTGGGTATTCACGTCGATGATACACCAATTCCG